TCTTCTAAAGACACGTCCTTAGTTTATCTTCCAGGTAGATGAAATTTATTATCTAGTAACTCTTATAATAATTGATTTTACCAGATCTCATATATTTTTGACAATGTGCATTTATTTCCGTGTATATAAATATTGTATAATAAACAAAGCATTAACAGATAATCAAAATTTGCATAAAGGTAGAGAGCCTGTACACCAGAACGAAAAAAATAGCAATTACTAGCATGAAAAATATTTTCTGTATTAGGGTTCGTATATGAGAAGATGAAATTCATTTTTCTATCATCATTATTTGATCAAATTTTGATATTTTGATCAATTCTTTATGATATTGCAATTTGGGGTGATTTGAATAAGTCCAAGTGTTCATTAGGATACAATATAATAATTTATGTGGAAGCATGTGCTTTGATTCAGTAATATTTTATTAAAAGCCATATAGTTATGACATCAAATGCAGAAGTGAGCATGGTTATTTAACAGCATCATAAACATGCATGACTGCAGTCAGGTAGCGTCATACACTGAAATCCTGGTGTATTACTAACACTTTTGTTGGAGAGGACAAAAGTGTCTGAATCATGTCTTGTTGTCAGAGGAGAAAATGCATCCATTATAAGTCATTAATAATTCTTGCTTCAAAGTCAGCAATGACATAAAATGAAGAACATGGTGGTGGTATCTAAATTTCATTATAAAACAAAATTTGTTAATGGGTACAAAAAATGACTAGTTATAAGTATTAAATTTCATTTATAGTTAGTTAGAATATTTATAATAAGTGAGATAATTTATTAGGAGCCCTGCTGGCATGGTGGTTAAAGCACTGAGCTGCTAACCAAAAGGTTGGCAGTTCAAACCCCCCAGCAGTTCTGAGGAAGAAAGATGTGGCAGTCTGCTTCTGTAAAGATTACAGCCTAGGAAACCCTATCGGGCAGGTCTACTCTGTTCTATAGGGTCTCTGTAAGTCAGAATTGACTTGACGGTAATGGTGTGTTTTTTTTTTTTTTTTTTTTGGTTAAATATATAGTTACTTATAGGTTAAGATTAAATCCTGGTTACAAGGGAGGATGTATAGAAAGTAATGGAGCTATAATATCAATATAGATGTAATAAAATCAGTTTTAAAAAGAAGAAGGGTGGTAATAGCTTATACAAAATAAACTGTTAACTTTTTTTTCACTAATCTGGTGGTCCTAGGATTAGTATTTTATTCTGGAACTTACTTAAACAAAAAATGGGATAAAGGATATTAGAAATTATAGAATATTCTAACCATGTGTCCTGAGAGCGAGGATTTTCAGTTTGGAACGGCAGAGACACAAATTTAACACAGAAGAGATAGTAAAAACCCTGCACTCGTGATTTTGATTGGAATTATCAGTATTAACTCACGAGCTCTATCTCCCTCCATATGTACATTGGAGTCTCTGGGTGGCGAAAATGGTTGACACGTTCTTCTGTTAACAGAAAGGTTGAAGGTTTGAGTCCACTCGGAGGCACCTTGGAAGAAAAGCCTGGTGATCTACTTTGGAAAAAATCAGCCATTGACCATCCTATGGAGCACAGTTCTACTCTGACACATGGGGCTGTCCTCTTTTCCCCTCCCTCCCACAGATGAATGCCTGAAGAAAAAGCAGAGAAAACTGGTATATAGAAATCTGTAGTGGAAGAACTTATTAATATTTGTCATGATGTTACTGTTTTTACAGTTGTATAAATAATGATTTATTAAATATCTTTATTTATAATTGTGAGGATGGAGCAGGACCAGGCAGTGTTTCTTTCTGTTGTACATAGGGCCCCTGTGAGTCGGAACTGACTTGATGGCACCTAACAGCAACAGCAATTGTCTTTGCATGTAAATATTTGTTTGAATTTTTGACTACTTTTATGTTTATTTACAGGAAAAATGATTTTGTCAAATGATGGTGAACTTTTTAATATTAATAAACAAATAAATATTGCTAAATTGCTTTTGGAAAGCTTGTGTGAGGGAGCTGGACTCAGCTCATCCTTACAGACATTGCATATTATCTTGGCCGATTCTATGGAGGGCGATGGTGGGGTGGGGAGAGAGAGAGTTGTACTTCATTGTGTTTACATACAAATGAAGTTAAATTCTTTTTCTGGGTCCATTACCTGGATTGTTATCTATTCTCAACTCTGGCTGTATTGATGACTGGTGATTTTTGTGCCTTTGTTATTAATTTTTTATAAGTTCTTTATACATTAAGGATATCACATCTTTGTTATATTTATTACAGTTCACTATTTTCCTTTAGTTTTAGATTTTATCTTTCTGATTATATTATTTATTCTAATTATAATTTTTATAATCCTTTTAGACTTTAAGCCCTGGGACAAAATGAACCACAATTTTTCTTATTCTTTGGTTTAACCCAAGTACCTCAGAACAATGCATACTAAATATTTGTCACTAAATAAATATTCTTGAATAAATAAGTGAACTTTTTACAATCATAGGAAACTTTGATTGTATTAATATAAGCCTTATAGCAACCTGAGGAAAGCTAAAATACAAAGAATCAAAACAGCAAATGAAAGATACAGTTTTTGTTATACAGAGTACTTCGGCTTACTTAAAATTTCTCTTTTAAATTGTAAGAGAAAGTCATATTTTTTATAGAAATAACTAAAAATCATAAAAGGATATCAGCATTCATTTTAGACAGTGGCTAAACTTTTTTAGTAGTTGTAATTTTAGCATCCACTGATTAAGAAAATAGATAATGACAAATCAAAATGAATCCGTATGTTAAATATCACTATACGTAGCAGCAAAGCACAATCAACGTGTAGCAGTCAAGAAATCAAAAGATACATTGCATTTGGCAAATCTGTGCAAAAGACCTCTTTAAAGTGTTCAAAAGCAAAGATGTCACTTTGACTAAGGTGCACCTGACCCAAGCCATGGTATTTTGAATCACCTCATATGCGTGCGAAAGCTGGATAATGAATAAGGAAGACCAAAGAAGAATTGATGCATTTGAATTATGGTGTTGACAAAGAATGTTGACTATACCATGGACTGCCAGAAGAACAAATAAAACTGTCCAGGAAGAAGTACAGCCAGAATGCTCCTTAGAAGTAAGGATGGCGAGACTGTCTCACGTACTTTGGATGTGTTATCAGGAGGGACAAGTCCTTGGAGAAGGACATCATGCTTGGTAAAGTAGAGGGTCAGTGAGAAAGAGGAAGACCTTCAATGAGATGGACTGACACAGTGGCTGCAACAATGGGCTCAAGCGTAACAACGATTGTGAGGATGATGCAGGACCAGGCAGCGCTTCATTCTGTTGTACGTAGGGTTGCTAGGGGTCGGAACCAATTCGATGGCATCTAACAACAACATATATATCAGCATACATTTGGAAAATGAAATATTTGCTCAGTCTCGAGTCATGCATATGGATTTCTGGACTGTTTCCAATACCTGTGTTCACCTCATTGTCTTCCTCCCACTTGAACCTTCTCTGTGACTCACACTTTATGAACCACTGTATTAAGAGGATAAATTCATCTTTCAGTCACCCCCTCAAATTTTATAATCTCATGAAAGAGAATAAATTCTGCTTAAAAATTGACTGTTTTGTCTACTTTTTTCCATCAAAGCATAATTTCCTCATTTCTTAGAGCGGACATTTTGAAAGTTACTTTCTATTTGTCTATCTCACAAGATAAAACATGAGTTTAGTTCACAGCAAAACTCAATGACAATTTGCAGAATTATGGGCTACTTCACCCCAAATCTATGTAGCATACTCTGACATAGGTTACTATGAAGAGGAAATGGCATTTTTAAAAGACAAAAGAAGAGAATTTTATTTTCCCATCAAAGAGGCATCTCAATATCTTAAGTGCTCATTTGCAATCCCATGTTTTCTTTGCCTTTAAAAGTCAAGATGGTGTTTTCATTATTCATGTAAAATAAAACACATGGCTCATTCTTCACACCTCAAGTAACATTAGCAGGTGGGAGACAAACAGTTACAAGTAGGTTTCCTGAGGCTAAAGCTAAAATACCTTTACCTTTAGAACTTAAATTCCTATATAAGAAGTTGTTGTAATTTTTAAAGCATTGCCTGCTCTAAATATTTTTAAGATGTAAAATAAAATCTAAAGTACCAAGGGGCAAAAACACTCTCACACACTCACAACAAATTTAATTGCATATCCAGCAGAAAAGCAGCTATATTCAAGTATGACTATCATTACTTCAATAATCAAATTTATTTTAACCATTAAAATTTCTCCAGTAATAATAGGCCCTATAGTTTATCATTCACAGCATTTCCAAATTATGAAATAACCTGAATTATTTTGCACACAACCCTACTAGGAAGTATGTAGATCAAGTACTATTATCCTCATTAGAATCACCAGATGGAAAGAATGACAGGGCCCAGTCCAGGATCATACAGATAATTAATGATAAAGACAGTACTGAAATCAAGATGGCTTCATTCTCTGCCAAGTTTTTATTTAACTAAATCAAAACCAAAACCTAACTCATTGTCGTCAAGTCAATTCTGACTCATAGAGACCCTACTGGACAGAGTAGAACTGCTCCGTAGGGTTTACAAGGAGCGGCTGGTGGATTAGAACTGCTGACGTTTTGGTTTGCAGCCCAGTTCTTAACCACTGCACAACCAGGGCTCCTTTTATTCAGCTAGAGTACCGTTCTTGGCAATAGTATAAAGTGCTTTGCAGCATTTAATGTTTATAAAGCAAGTCTTAATTCTTAGTTATATAGTTGATAAGGATGGTCAATTTAATAGGTAAAAAAAAAAGATTCTCAACATAATACTGTAGTCGAGAAAAATTATATCATATATCAATATTGAGACAAATTATAATTATGTCAATATTGGTATAAATAATAGTGTTCTTGCCTATGAAACTACATATTACTATTATTATATTAAGGGTCTAATGGTGGTTGAAACTATTCAGAACAAAAAAATTATTTAAAAATTGTACTTGTTTGGTAGTACATATATTAAATTTGCAATGACTCAGAAAATTAGCTTGGCCCTGCAAAGGATGACACACAAATTCATGAAACACTCTTAATATATTTTGTAAACGTGTGCTCCTGGAAATTATTGTTTTATTATACATCTTCAAGAGATCTTGTAAAACTGGTGGATACCACCTTTAATAGAAATACGTTAGTAATTACAAAATTAGTAATTTTTAAAATTTTAAAGTAATTTTTAAAGTTTAAATTTTAAATCTTATGTGCTGTAAGTGGTGTATTCTATTCCCTGAATTAATTCATACTACTTTCCCCCATGCAGCCCTGGTGGTGCAGTTGTTAAGCATTTGGTTGCTAACCAAAAGGTTGGCAGTTCGAATCCACCAGCCGCTCCTTGGAAACCCTATGGGGCAGTTCTACTCTGTCCTATGGAGTCGCTATGAGTTGGAATTGACTTGAAGGCAATGGGTTTGTTACTGGGTGGAAACTCAGGCTCTGCTCGGTGTGACTGGAATTGGCCAATAAACAAGAGACCGAGGTGGGAGGGCAGGAAAGGCACCTTTAGTTTGTTGCACAAGAAAAGGAGTAGTTGGAGCTGCTGCCACTAAGGCTGCTCTCTGAGGGCAATGGGAAAAGTTACTTTTAAGGGGTTTGCAAGTAGGGAGTTCATACAAGTTATATCAGCAACATTCTTTGTCATACTACACAGGCGCAGTGGGGTTTACGTACAACTTCCAAGCAAAGAAAGCAGGATTTTAATGCAAAGCTGTGGGGGAGAAAACCAAGCAAAGAAAACAGGATTCTAATGCAAAGCTGCTTCAGGCGCTGCCTTAGGTTTGGTTTGGTTTTTGGTTTTCCCCCATGTTCTACTTTATTCCCATGCAGTGAATTTGAGGCTATTTTGTTACCTGGTGGAAACAGCAGGTTCATGCTCAGCATAACTTGTATTGGCCAATAAATGAGAGACTGAGGTGGGAGAACAGGAAGATACCTTTATTTTGTTGTACAAGGAAAGGAGTCAGTCGGAGCTGCTGCTGCCAAGGCTGTTCGCCAAGAGTGGGCAGACAAGTTACTTTTAAAGGGGTTTACAAGTAGAGAGTTCATACACATTACGTCAGTGACATTTTTAATCATACTACGCAGGTGAAGTGGGGTTTACATATAACCTCCAAGCAAAAGCAAGATTCAAATGCAAAGTTGGGGTGGGGGGTGGGGGATGGGAAGCCCAGCAGAGGAAACAGGATATTTTAATACAACACTGTGGGAGCTCTGTCTCTATTTTTATATTTCAATATGATATCACTACAATGTAGTATTGAAATATTGCTTATAGTCTACACTTTTATTTATCCTCTACTGGAGAATCCCAAGGAGGATAAACAAGAAGTTGGAGACAAGAAAAGAAAGATATTAATATTACAAAAGCATCATGGATTTTACAAGGAAATTAAAACAATCTACACCGTGAATTAACCAAAAAAATACTTTGATCAGAACAATTTGTTTTGTTCTTTCACTGTGTCAGCTACTATATCTAATTTTTAATATATGCTCACTTTTGTAGAGGCACAATTTTAAATACTATTTTATAATCAAGTATAAAAAAATCTTTCTCCCCTTGTAGTTATTTCAGCTTGATAATTACTTTTGAAAAACCATCACTGAAAAGAGCAGGAAAATGGTAATATCAAACCAAAAACTAAACCAATTGCCTCCAAGTGGATTCTAATTCACAGTGATCCCATGTGTGTCAGAGTAGACCACCAGGCCTTTCTTCCAAGGCTCTTCTGGGTGTACTTGAACCTCCAACCTTTCAGTTAGCAGCTGAGTGCATTAACCATTTATACTACTCAGGGATTCCCTGGTAATACTGGAGTTTCAATTTAGAAATAAGTCCCTGGTGGTTCAAATGGTTAACACGCTTAACCAAAAGTTAGGATGTTTGAGTCTATTCAGAGGTGCCTTGGAAGAAAAACCTGGCGATCTACTTCTGAACAATCAACCATTGAAAAACCCATGAAGCACAGCTCTACTCTGACACACATGGGGTTGCCATGAGCTGGAATTTCAAATTGGACAAAGAAAATAGTAATTAGAGTTATAGAGGATACTATCTAGAAAAATGTGTGTCAAATTCAGACCTGGAATATTAAATGCATATAACTTGATTTAGGAAAAACCACTTGTGGCCCATCCTCATGACATGGAGAAGAACTAACTTATAAATTAAAAAAAAAAATGTGCAGAGAAATGAGAAGTAGAAATGTATGAGCTAAAAAATATATATGTTTTAGTTCAAAAATAAATATTTTAATAAAAAACAGAGTAATTGTATGAGAATAAAATGTAAATGGAGCTTAATATTGGAGTAGTCTACAATTAAATATTATGTTGAAAGAAAAACATTCTAAGAAGTACATTTCATTGATAATACATTTTGTTACAGGAAAGCCACAATCACATCTGACTGTATATTTCTTAAGTGTGTATGTGACATCTGAAACTATTTTTAGTAAGTGTTTATACTGATTTGATCTATCCCAAAAATAATCTTAGCATCCATGTTGTGATTTTGAATTGCTTTTGAATGAAAAATTAACAGCATTTTATAGTAATGGAGAGAATGAAATTACTCAAATAATGTATAATTCAAAATTTGCTACACAAAAAATAAATTTTTAATGTTAAATTATGTCCAAAAAACTCATTTACAAGGTCTTAAAAGATTTCTAACAATGGCAAACACAGAGCCCTATTATAATAGAAACCGATCGTTCCTTCTAAAGCGTTTATTGCCATTTAATGCATCCAAATAAAAACTGTGTTTCCAGTTTATTTAACTTTCTAATTGAAGGAATATGAGAAATCCATTTCTTCTTATGACACACAAATGTATCCAGATGCCTACCAATAAACAGTGGTAAACTATCTTCAGTACATTTCCTTTGTGCATATACTACATCGAGTTCTCTTGGTAGAGTTGACTAATCAAGAGCAAGTAATTTTACCCAGGTGTAACGAATCTACAGCTTGGCCAGGTATTTTTCAAATAAAAAGGTGAACAAAAGATGAATCTCAAAGAAATTTGAACTAAAAATCTGAGCGAATACGTTAGTTACAAATGGATGGTCATGAGGAAGAGTTAGAGTTAAAAAGTACACAATGGAACATGTCTAAGTCAACGAAATGCTAAAAAAAAAAAAATTAGGTGTAAGCAGAGGAATGGAGTTGTTAGAAGGAGTTGTATAGTAACACTCACATATGCCATGAGAGACAGAGGAAGACAGATTTCGTGCTGGAACTTCATTGTTTCTGGATAACTTTCACGTCAGTTCTACATATATGTTTACAGAACTCTCTTTTCCTTTTGTTTTTGGGTGTCGTTGGATCGGTTTCGACTTACAGGGACCCCATGACACAGAGCAGAACTGCCCCATAGGATCTTCTAGGCTGTGATCTTTATGGGAACAGATTCCAGGTCTTTCTCCCTCTAAGCTGCCGGGTGGGTTCCAATCACTAACCTTTCAGTTAGCAGCCCAGACTTAACTGTTGTGCCTCCAGGGCTCCTTCTCGTCCTTTTAGTGGGACCCCCTTCCTTAACAAAACAGAGCTGTGCCAAATCTAAAGAACTTGGAGGTAACCTGCCGGGGAGAAATTTCTCCTGTTGCAACAAAAATTCTCTAATAAATTCCTTAAAGTACTCCTTTTATCTACAGTTCAGCAAATTGTGCTCCCAAGTTATGTGATATGATAGTTACACAATATCCATTTATTACCTGCTTCTGAGGTTAAGAATTCTCATACTTAATCCAACTACACTCATTATTCACACCAAGCTAAACCAATTTTTCAAGGCTCAAGCCTCTAAAGGATCTAGTATGTTAGTTTTAACAAATACACACTGAAGAAAACTAGGTAGTAATTTGCATTTGTCTATTAAAAAAAAACCCCAACATCTTAATGAGACAAATAATAAAGATGACTGATAGAAGCAAAAGGTCAAAGTTGAATATTGATTTGCCTGAATCATAAGAATAATACCCGCTTTAAATTCTCTTAAAAACGCCTTTTATTTCCCTACAGGTTTTGAATGTTAGAAAATAAGAACTAAAAGCTCGTTGTCACATTTATGCATTATTTAATAACACTTACTTCATTTCATTTTCACCAGCTTTATTGTGAAAAATATTCATTATGCAGAAATCTTAGACCCATTGACTACTGAGTAAAGCGATTATGCTTGTTCCAATATACTTAGTAATCAGTTGCATTTTAATTCTTTCAAGAATGTGAATGTTGAATAAAATTGAAATTCCTTAATGTATTATTTCAACTTACAATTAAAAAAACTTTTATAAGAGTAAGAAGGCATCTGTCCTATGACAAGATTCATTTAAAAGAGAATTCCTAAATAGTCCAGAGGAGCCCTGGTGGCACAGTGGTTAAAGTGCTCAGCTGCTAAGGTTTGAACCCGCCGGCCACCCTGAGGGAGAAAGATGTGTAAGACTGTCACAGATTTACAGTGTTAGAAACCCTATGGGGCCGTCGTACTCTGTCCTATAGGGTCACTATGAGTCGAAATGGACTCCACTGCAAGGGAATTAGGTAGTCCAGATCGCCAGAGTGACAAAAATTCAAAATAACTTAACATTTTACTTTTTATGGAATTTTTCTCATCTGCTTAAATTTTGTTTCTGAGTGACTTATGCTAATCTATATTCCATGCTATTTTGTTGCATTAAAAGGGCAATGATAATGTGGTAAAATTCACTTGGGAAAAAACAAGGTCTACAAAGAAGCTTTGTTAAAACTAAGGTGAATAATATTTACTATAAGAACTACTTTTTAGACCTCTTTTCTTTGTCCTTGAAAGAATTTGAACTCAAAAGAAATGTCAATTTTATCTTTTTTGCTACTCTCTTGAGTCTCATGACAGGGTAAGCTCTGGGGACTTTTGGGGCTAACTTGAATATGAGACTCCCAAGGGAGAAAAACAGGTCAAACTCAATCTCCAGAAGTTTCTCTGCTACATTGACTGCCTGGGAGGCTGCCAGATTGTTCTGTGTCTTTTGGAGGTTAAAAGCCTTGACTACTATGCTT